GTGAGATGAGGAGGGATTGGGGGTCACGCAGAGCCCAGGTGTGGGGTGAGGAGGTATTGGGGGGTTCACACAGAGCTCAAGTGTGAGATGAGGAGGGATTGGGGGTCACGCAGAGCCCAGGTGTGGGGTGAGGAGGTATTGGGGGGTTCACACAGAGCTCAAGTGTGAGATGAGGAGGGATTGGGGGTCACGCAGAGCCCAGGTGTGGGGTGAGGAGGTATTGGGGGGTTCACACAGAGCTCAAGTGTGAGATGAGGAGGGATTGGGGGTCACGCAGAGCCCAGGTGTGGGGTGAGGAGGTATTGGGGGGTTCACACAGAGCTCAAGTGTGAGATGAGGAGGGATTGGGGGTCACGCAGAGCCCAGGTGTGGGGTGAGGAGGTATTGGGGGGTTCACACAGAGCTCAAGTGTGAGATGAGGAGGGATTGGGGGTCACGCAGAGCGCAGGTGTGGGGTGAGGAGGGATTGGGGGTCACGCAGAGCCCAGGTGTGGGGTGAGGAGGTATTGGGGGGTTCACACAGAGCTCAAGTGTGAGATGAGGAGGGATTGGGGGTCACGCAGAGCCCAGCTGTGGGGTGAGGAGGGATCGGGGGTCACGCAGAGCCCAGCTGTGGGGTGAGGAGGGATCGGGGGTCACGCAGAGCCCAGCTGTGGGGTGAGGAGGGATCGGGGGTCACGCAGAGCCCAGCTGTGGGGTGAGGAGGGATCGGGGGTCACGCAGAGCCCAGCTGTGGGGTGAGGAGGGATCGGGGGTCACGCAGAGCCCAGCTGTGGGGTGAGGAGGGATCGGGGGTCACGCAGAGCCCAGCTGTGGGGTGAGGAGGGATCGGGGGTCACGCAGAGCCCAGCTGTGGGGTGAGGAGGGATCGGGGGTCACGCAGAGCCCAGCTGTGGGGTGAGGAGGGATCGGGGGTCACGCAGAGCCCAGCTGTGGGGTGAGGAGGGATCGGGGGTCACGCAGAGCCCAGCTGTGGGGTGAGGAGGGATCGGGGGTCACGCAGAGCCCAGCTGTGGGGTGAGGAGGGATCGGGGGTCACGCAGAGCCCAGCTGTGGGGTGAGGAGGGATCGGGGGTCACGCAGAGCCCAGCTGTGGGGTGAGGAGGGATCGGGGGTCACGCAGAGCCCAGCTGTGGGGTGAGGAGGGATCGGGGGTCACGCAGAGCCCAGCTGTGGGGTGAGGAGGGATCGGGGGTCACGCAGAGCCCAGCTGTGGGGTGAGGAGGGATCGGGGGTCACGCAGAGCCCAGCTGTGGGGTGAGGAGGGATCGGGGGTCACGCAGAGCCCAGCTGTGGGGTGAGGAGGGATCGGGGGTCACGCAGAGCCCAGCTGTGGGGTGAGGAGGGATCGGGGGTCACGCAGAGCCCAGCTGTGGGGTGAGGAGGGATCGGGGGTCACGCAGAGCCCAGCTGTGGGGTGAGGAGGGATCGGGGGTCACGCAGAGCCCAGCTGTGGGGTGAGGAGGGATCGGGGGTCACGCAGAGCCCAGCTGTGGGGTGAGGAGGGATCGGGGGTCACGCAGAGCCCAGCTGTGGGGTGAGGAGGGATCGGGGGTCACGCAGAGCCCAGCTGTGGGGTGAGGAGGGATCGGGGGTCACGCAGAGCCCAGCTGTGGGGTGAGGAGGGATCGGGGGTCACGCAGAGCCCAGCTGTGGGGTGAGGAGGGATCGGGGGTCACGCAGAGCCCAGCTGTGGGGTGAGGAGGGATCGGGGGTCACGCAGAGCCCAGCTGTGGGGTGAGGAGGGATCGGGGGTCACGCAGAGCCCAGCTGTGGGGTGAGGAGGGATCGGGGGTCACGCAGAGCCCAGCTGTGGGGTGAGGAGGGATCGGGGGTCACGCAGAGCCCAGCTGTGGGGTGAGGAGGGATCGGGGGTCACGCAGAGCCCAGCTGTGGGGTGAGGAGGGATCGGGGGTCACGCAGAGCCCAGCTGTGGGGTGAGGAGGGATCGGGGGTCACGCAGAGCCCAGCTGTGGGGTGAGGAGGGATCGGGGGTCACGCAGAGCCCAGCTGTGGGGTGAGGAGGGATCGGGGGTCACGCAGAGCCCAGCTGTGGGGTGAGGAGGGATCGGGGGTCACGCAGAGCCGAGGTGTGGGGTGAGGAGAGATTGGGGGTCACACAGTGCGCAGGTATGGGGTGAGGAGGGATGGGGGGGCACGCAGAGCCCAGGTGTGGGTGTGGTGACCATATAGGCTGGGATGAGGCGGGGCTGAGGGGCGCCCAGTTATGGGGTGACCAGGGCATGGGGGAGGCGCACCCTACTCGCCCCAGCGCTGCGGCCCTGCCCTATAGACAATCCCTGCGCAGGAAATGCGGCGCAGGGGCCGAACCCGGGGACCCACTTTTGGGGGACCCCCCCTGCAATTTGCCCCCCGCTTCCCCGGACGGCGCAGGGACCGGCTCTTCCCTTCCCCGGCCCCGGCCCCGCAGGCGGCGGCTGCTCGCTAGGACCCAGGCGGGCGCGGGAGCTGGAGCGGGTCCGGCCGCAGGAAATGATGCGGGCGGCGCAGCTCCCCCCCCGGCTCCAGTAACTCTTTGTGGCCGCCCTTAGGAGCCCCCCCGGACCGCGCGTGGAGCCCAGGTACAGAGATTTGGGGGGGCGCCGGGCCAGCCCCCTCTCCCCTTCCAGCCCTGCCTGGTGCCACTGGAGAAGCGCAGACTCCCTGCCCCCAAAGCCAGCCCCCAAACCAAAGCGCCACCAAGTCAGCGCCGGCTGAAATGTCCCACCCTGGCTGGGTACACTCGCCCCTGCAAGGCAAACCCTCTAGCTGTGTCCCCGGGGTGTATCCCCTAACTCAAAGGGAGCAATTTCTCCTCTCCCCGCCCCCCATCTTGCCCTGCTGTTTTTATGTCTGATTGAGTCCGCCAGGGGGTGGGCAGCGAGGGGGGATTTGGGGGGTTGGTAAGAAGAACCCACCGCCTGGAAAAAAGGGGGGGCTGCAGCCTGGAAAAGTTGCGAGCCGCTGGGCTAGTCGGTGTGGGAGAAAGGGGAAGGCCCCTGCGTTCCTCCGTTTGCTGGGAGCTCTCGTCAGTCGCGCACCTCTTGGGGGGACGGAGCGGGGGCACCGTCCCATCTAGTGGCCCTGAGACCGCCGAGAGAGAGAAAGAGCCCTGGGTGGATACAAACAGCGTCTCCGCAGCCGTATCCGCCAAAAAATGAGCCCCGGATTAGGCCCCTCCGGGGCTGCGGGGACCCATGGTGACGATGCGGGCACCCGCACATTTGTAGGGTTCTAGCTGCAGAATTTGCAGCCCGCTCTGCCAAAGGGAGCCGGACAGCCACAGCCCACGAAGCAGATCTCTGCAAATTGGCTGGGCTCTACTGAGATGAATGAGTCTGCTCTACAGCCTCAGCCGAGAGCCAGCTGGCGTTTCGTTCATGCACTAAGCTCCAGAGGTCCTAGGTTCAATTCCACCCTCCCCCCCCTGCATTACCTCTCACTTTCTCCCTCTTCTAAAGCCCCTGGGCTGTTCCAAGCAGGGTGGGTGGTGGGTCTGCTTCTCCGCTCCCCCAGAGCTTCCACGGTATCCGCCTTTCTGCTTCACGAGTAATGAATGAGATTGCAGCAGGGGACTTTTGTTTTTTCAGGGGCCTTCGAGGAGGTGGCTGTGTATTTCACCCCGGGGCAGGGGGCGCTGCTGGGCCCCGCTCAGAGAGCCCTCTACAGGGACGTCATGCAGGAGAACTACGAGGCGGTGACCTCGCTGGGTAAGGGAGCCCCGTCCCCACGGTTATTAGAAGTTAGGGGTTCTGTATCCGAGGCAGCAGTGCGGGGTGCCAGGCAGGAGCTGGTCCACGAGGCAGTAGGTCCTGGACCCATCTCCCCTCATAGACTGGGCCTCTTAAATGCTGAGCTACAGTGGGGGTAAGTCCTGAATCCGTCGCAAGCCAGGACTGAGAGAGGCATGCTAAAACATTTTCTGGCAAAGGGGGAAGGAGGGAGGGAAGGGATGCATGTAGTCTGTAGCATTAACCTATAAGCTTTTGCTTATCGGTTAATCGACTGCACTGTTCCATCCCTACCCAGAACTTTGGTCACTTGTTTTGCACCAGTGTTGCACTGTTGACTCATATTTAGCATGTGATCTACTACAGCCCCAAGATCCTTTTCTACAGTACTCCCCCCTAGAGGGAAGGAGGGAGGGAAGGGATGCATGTAGTCTGTAGCATTAACCTATAAGCTTTTGCTTATCGGTTAATCGACTGCACTGTTCCATCCCTACCCAGAACTTTGGTCACTTGTTTTGCACCAGTGTTGCACTGTTGACTCATATTTAGCATGTGATCTACTACAGCCCCAAGATCCTTTTCTACAGTACTCCCCCCTAGATAGTCATCAGGGTGGCCTAATTATTATGGTCGATGCCACAGAGGGCTTCTCACCCATCCATTGTAACTGACAGATGTAGGACTGCCCCCCCCCCCACCTCCCC